TTCAAGTTGCTATGGTAACCACTGCTTTTAACATCTACTGTAAACACAGCATCTCTCTTAAATCACGTCTTTTTCTGCTGTTACTTGTGGTGTACCCCAAGGTTCCATTTTAGGCCCCATTTACTTTGCATTATATACGTTTCTGCTGTGATAATTGCTAAACTGACAACATGCAGCTAGATTTCAGCTTCAAACCGAGTGAAACACATTATGTTTAGTCTCTTCTAAGCTGACAAAAATATTCATCAGCTTAAGGAAAGTAAGACAGAGGTCCTCATCATCTGTTCTGCAAATTCCACTATTGGTTTGGGCAGTTTTCTGCAGTGCAAAACCAAATGCCTTTACCTTAAGTTTAAGTCTAAAAACAGAAAACAGAACCAAATACTGTGCTGCAAAAACAGAAAACTCAGGATGCATGATAATTATCAGGACAGATAAATCATCTGCCAATAATGGGAAATTTATATTATTATGCATTATTTCAATAAATAAATTATAGGCGATAAATTATGGGCCCATAAAACATTTTTTTTTTATCATTCAATAGGCTTTATGGTCTATTAAAAGCTAAAGTATGTTTGTGAAGTTTACAATGTCATATACTAAAAAAAATACATGAACACTCACTGAGATTAGATTTGGTTGGGTCATGAAATCATCTTTTCTCACTACATCTTAGCCTTTCCTACTGTCAAATAAAACACAACCAAATACAGAAATGTGCTGCTAGTTGCACAGAACCCAATGGAAATGAGTAACAAACCCCTCAAATCTTCTTCGTTACATGTTCCCAAAGTCTCATCTATCACCATTTTTAAATTCCGACTTACCATCTGCCTTTATTACAACTATAAAGTTGCTTTAAATTTGACTGTTTCAGTTATTTACTTATTAATTACTTTTCTGTTTTGATGTATTTTTAATTTTCTCTGTACAGCACTTCTGAGAACACTTGTTTTGTAGATGAGAAATAAACTTGACTTTCTTGAATCAGAATGAACTGTAGATGGCGAGCTCGAGCTGTGTTTACAGAATGGAGAAATGAATGGTACTGTATGAGTCAGTGAGTGTAGTTTTAAAATTAAGTGTGTGTGTGTACCTCAGTCTGTATGTTGGGGACTGATCCCGTGTTGCCATTGGCGATGGCCGAATTGGAACTGTTGGGACTGCTGGGACCTGAACCTGGGGCGCTGTTGCAGAGAGAGGAAACTGGCCGAGAGAAACACAGAAAAAGAGAGAGATGAGTTCATCTTCAAGTCATAAAATTATGACTTATGGTAAAATAGTGTATTTATAGTGAGTTTAAACACTACACTAAACACACTGCTGCTGAGTTTTTCTGTCTATTTTTAACCATACACTGAAAAACATTGTAACGTGAGTATATACAGTTTGTGTTCACCTGATATCTCAATAGCTCTCTTCTTAAAGGTGCTGATAACAGTTCCATCCTTTCTGCGAAGGAGTGGAGAGCTCCGCCTCTCTGCCACCTTCTGCTTCAACCGTGAACGCACCTTCAGGTTCGGCTCTGAGACTGGAGACACAGGGGGAGAGGGAATGAAACCTGCTCAGCTTAGAGCCAAAAAATAAATCAACCATCACTTTAGCCCTTCTACAGACACTGCAGTCTGTTTTGAATAAAGGCAAAAAAGAAAACACATTTGTGCTAATGTAGAAGAAAACACATTCATGCTAATGTAGTTGCTTTTGTGTATTGTTGCTTTCGCCCTTTTAATCTTGTGCTGTATCTCTGCTATTGTTTGTCTCATTGTGAGGTGCAGTGTTTTATTTGGCAGAGTATTTCATGGGGGTATTTTAAGGTGCCTGGTGATTTGCCAACAGGAGACTATCAGGGCGGATACAGGATCACAGGCTGTCTGGTAATCCTACATTACATTTTGGCCGGCTGCACATTTTGGCTGGTTGGTTTGCTTGCTGGATGAGCAGCTACAGCAAGTCAAGGTTGAGGGCAAGGAGCAGGAAGAGGAACAAGCATCCATGTTTTATTGGTTTAAGCTGCCTGAACAGTATCCAGCAGTGCGGAATTCAGGAAAACCTGGATGTTTAGTTATTGCTTACCCTTTAACCTTGTGGCATCAGGGCAGCCAGTAACCGATCCAACAGAAAAACTTGGACATGTGCATTAAGAGATAAGATCTTTAACTCCTGTTAAATGCACTTAAATTTATAAAGTGAGCGTACATTCTGTAAGAAGGAGAGGAGGTCTCCAATTACCGCTATTGTGGGGAAAAAACTAAAGCCTGTTAACCTAAATGCATTTATTTTGTAGTATTTAAAATGTGTACATTGTTTTACTGATGAGGTAAAAAGTGAGAGCCTTAACTCCTAAAAACATATCTCATAAAGTGAGTGCACATTCTGTTTGATTTCCTGAGAGAAAAACACCTTCAATGCCTTCATTTAGTCTCATTTATAAAGTATTTCAAATGTGTATTGTTTTAAAGATGATGAACTTGTAATTTATCAAATGTGTATTTCTTCAAAATGGCAGCTTTACCTGTTCAAGATAACATGACGTGAGGTAGAAACAGCAGTAAAATGCTCAGGAACGATCGTTTTTCTCACTGTGAGCTGGGTCGCCATAGTTTGTCATTTTTAAAATGAGGGCTCCCCAGATAAAAAGTTTGGGAAACACTGTTCTACATGGATTAAAAAAAAATGCAGGACAACACTTGCTCGCAATGGTGGTCAGCGTTCATGAGACATGCTTTCATGGCTTGGCTGTTCGGCCTCAGCGGTTCAAATTAAGTAGAATCTATTTTATTTTAGAGAAAATTCATCTTCTAACCTATTAGCTTTTTAAAATTAGAGGCAGAAAGTGTAAGTGCTTGTTACACGTACACTCAACAATTACCGACCACAACAACAAATATAAATTGGACCATTAATAACAGGCTGGATGCATGTAGATGTGACCGTCTGCACCATTTCCAAAATAGACGTTCACTGCGAGTGGTGTGAACAGCTTTTAACTGACATGGGAGCAGAAATGAAAAAGGAACATTTTCTGTCTGCTAAACCCGCTTTGAACAGTCACACTGTGCAGCTCATCATACCATCAGTGGAGTTTCAAACAAAATAGACACTCAGGTTTCTGAGTGAGGGGCTGAAATACAGCACAACAAGTTAATTTCCAAGATATCTGGGGGTTTCCATGACTGGAAAACTAGTCTTTAAAATTTCCGGGTATTCCATGTTTTTTGTAACCCTCCAGAGACATGTAGTAATAGCCTCAGTCTTTTAGTACGACATCATGTATGTAGCTGGGTCACACAAAAACATTATACTGCCATTATTTTGACAGATATTGCGATTCACAATTACTGTTTAAGTCATATGCTTCATGTAC